GAGAGAGAGAGAAGAGAGAGAGAGGGATCTACAATGTTGAGACCATGCAAATAATGTGTCATTATAGCCTAAGCGATTTAGTTATAGGAAAAAGTTCATACAAGGATGCAACCTTATAATGTAGGATTACGGATGTACCTCAAAAATCGATGGGAAAAGGTAGTTTTAATGTTAAAAAACCTTTTGATTGATCATCTCGACATCAAGATGTATGGCCATGAAAAATAAAAAGATTTTAAGTCTCAAAAATAGCATATTTTACAACATATTATCTACACCGTCCATTTTTAAGATTTTCATATGTTTATAGATCTACTTGATTTTAACTATTTTTTTAATTTAAAATTTTATAATTAGATATAAAAATAGATTTTGAGATAATCCTAAGAACACTTTACATCAAAATTATATACCATGATAAAATTTGAAGGCGCACCTTACCTCTACTGCTACTGATGCATCCGTATGCCAACATAATTATAGGCAGTTGGTGCGGTGTTAAAAAAGCCCAACTCTGGCTCTGATTTTTTCAAGTGCCCTGTTGTGAGTCTCCCAATTATGACTCAGGCGAGTTTGAGTTGAACTTGACTATTTTTAGGAAGAAGAGTAGAAATTATATGTTGACTTGTGAGTCTTGTAGTTATGAGCCGGGCGATTCTGACCTCGACCGGTTTTAGAAAGAAGAAGAGAAATTATATGTTTTTGTGCTTCCAGCTAGGAATTGCTCGGCCTCTACTCCTGAGTCAAGTGGCCTCACAAATTTTTAAGAGAAAAGTTGTGCGTGAGGGGCTGCAATGCTACATTAGCCTCTCGTGACGCACCAAGCGTCTATCTTGAAGATGGACGCAAAATAGTGGTGGCCCCACAAAAATAGAAAATTTTATGCTAAAAGATTATTTTTTAAAAAATATTATTTTTATTTTTAAGAAATTTATTTATGTTTATATATTAATTATTAGCCATTATATATTCCTAAAAAATTGGGTTCAAATTCCACCTCAAAAATGGATCATGGAGAAAGGATGCACATCGATCATATGAGTCGGCAAACTCATGTAAATCGGGGTCCATTTTTTTAAAGGGCGTGGTTTGTATGGAGCTGAGGCTTTAAACAATCCAAGTAAAGCTCACCTTTAAATATTATCAAGAAATGTGGTTTCAATACTGAAAATCATTGTAATAGCCTTAAAATTATTTTCATCTTTAATTATAAAATTTAAAGCTTAAAAAATAGAGTAGATCGAGTAAATCTATGAAAACTTGAAAGTCTTGAAAACTGATGGTAAAAAATGCGTTACAAGATGCACTATTTTACAAAACTTGAAATTCAATTTTTTCCCATGCCCATGCATCTTGATGTCCAGATGATCAATTTAAAGATATTTGAGTATCAAAACAACCTCTTCTAGTGAAATTTTTGACGTAGACTCTAATTTTATTGCTTAGAGCCTCGGCTTTGTATAAAGTTTATCTTTTTCTAAATCAAAGTATGATGTACGTATATAGGACAAGGGATCCTAATTCTTAACTGTAAATCACTGTAACGTATGAAGTGCGTATATGTACATATGAGCCATCCAAATGGACGGTTATAGATGAAGGTAGCTAACAACTTGTCACTATTTATGAGCAATTGAGTGGATGAAGACATTAATTGCTATGTTCAAAGTGCTGACAGGTAATTTCTGGAGCTTTGTGATACAACTTAGGCCATTGATTTCAAATATAATGGTTAGGAGTTATCGTGACTTTGTTATACCATATATGAATGTTCTTATTATGTACCATCCTAAACTTTGGGTACCAAAAGTACTAGTTTTGCCTAGGATAAATGTGCAATTTGGCAATTACGTGTATATCTTTTTCCCTTGTACTCTTTTCAAAAAAAAAAAGAAAAAGAAAAATTGTATGACCTTTTTTCTTGAACTCCTTTTTGAAAAAAAGATATTTTCCCTATAGTTTTTCATTTTTATTCTCCATCTCATCAACGCTCATTTTATTCCTTTTCAAAAAAATCTTTTCCCTTGTACTTTTTCATTTTTTTCTCTAACCCATTAGTTCTCATTTCTTTGTAGAACTCATTTTATTCCTTTTCAAAAAATCTTTTCCCTTATACTTTTTCATTTTTTTCTCTAACCCATTTGTTCTCATTTCTTTGTAGAACCATATTAATTAATAGAAATGTATACAATAATACTTTTACTTTTTTTATACAAGGAGGTCACAGTCATCATTAACTACTAAATTCATAATTAGGTGATTGATGATGTGTCATTGTTTCAGCACAAAATCCAAAAACAATTTCTTAAATATTATGCATACTTTCGTATATTGAATTTCACATCCAATGGCAAAAAGTAATTGTGACATCCTGATATCAACTTCTCATTTTTATCTAGGCCACTATACTCACATTTATTTTTGTTAACCCCACCTAAAACATAGGTGTTTGCCTATAATAGGGCCATTGTTACGAGGTGGCTATATCAAGAAATTGATTTGCTCATTCTCTGCATATTAGGACCATTGTTATAGGGTGGCTATATTCAAAAATTGATTTGTTCATTCCCTGCATGACAGCTATCAAGAATGTACTGAATCGATGGTCCGATCGGGGCTACCAATCAGTATCTTGGCCAGTCTGGTTCAAATTAAAAACTGGCTTTAGTAAAAAATCGATCAAAACCAATGTTTGATGAGTTTTAGCCAATTTGACCTAAGGCAACGCCTCTTTTCTTATATATTACATATTTTTTAAAAAAATAATATTTTTTTTTTTTTTTAAATATAGTCATACTAGACTAGTCCCCTCACCAATTCAATAACTAGTCCGATCCTAATAACACTGTTATGAATCATACATAATATATGTTCTTATTTTTTGGGTATTATCCTAACTTTTAGGATAAAATTTGATGAATTTATCAAAGGAAAAAGTTTATATAAGGTTGCTAACTTTATATTCTAGAAGTAAGGTATACCTCAAAAATTTAGTAGAAAATAGCATTTTGAAATTGGAAAACTTTCCAATTGATCATCTCAACATCAAGATGTTTTAAAGAAGAATAATTTATTTGGTAATGTTTTAAAAAAAAGATATTTCAAAGAAAAAAAAACTTTAAGTCCTAAAAATAACGCATCTTATAATAAGTTATATCGACGTTCAAGATTTTTAGATACGCTCAATTTGCATAGCTTTCCAAAGGATTGTCAAGTCATCTTAAGGTTTCGGGCACTGAAACTACAACTTCTAGCAAAATTTGGGTGTGTGTTACTTTTATACCAGTATACGATGGGCATCCTAAACAAACTTCACCCTTTATCAAAAGGGAAAGATTTCTATACTTCCCCTACTGCATACAAGAGATATGTTTCCCTCACCTTTCCAGCCGTCCAATTTAAATCAAGTGAGCCATTGATCGTTTGACTTAGATTCAACGTCTCAAAGTATTTTTTTTTGAGTTTTTTTCTACAAATTATGTGAATATGAAATCTGGTACGTGTTATCATATCAATGGGGTGCACCTAAAAAAATATTAAAAATAATTTATATATAAAATATAATGACCAAAATACCCCTTAAAAATTTTAGGGATATTTTGGTCATTTTATTTATTAATAACATTTTATATATATATTTTTACAGGTGCTACTTTAAAGAGAGGAATGGACGCTCAAAATTTGGTGTCAATATAGTTTGTAAAAAAAATTTAAAATGAAATAGTGTAGAATCGTGGCATTGTGATTGGGGTCATCTAGTCAAAATTGACGGTTGGATAGGGGAATCATATGAGTTTTATGCACTAGGGGAAGCATAGAAAGCCTACTCATGTAGGGGTACTTTGAAATTAAATCAAAATATATAAATATAGGGAAAAGTTTAAATAAGTGAGAGGCTCTAAGCAATAAAATTAGAGTGTACAACAAAAATTTCACTAGAAGATGTTTTAATGCCCAAATATCCTCAAACTGATCATCTAGACCTCAAGGTGCATGAACATGAAAAAAAAATGGCTTTGAAATTTTGGAAATAGTTAATCTTGTAATACATTTTTTGACCGTCAATTTTCAATATTTTAAAGTTTTCATAGTTACGCTCGATCTACACTATTTTTAAAACTTTAAATTTTATAATTAGCGATGAAAGTATATTTTAATGCTACCACAAAGACTTCCAGTATTGAAACCATATTTCTCGATACTATTTGAAGGTGCATTTTACTTTAATGGTTTAAAGTCTCAGCTCTATACAAACTGTGCGCATAAGTCAAATGGAATATTATTTCATGTGGGGCTGGATTGTATTTCTACAATACGTGGTCCCAAGGTATAAAGCATCCATCTTAAAGATGGATGTAAATAGATCCATCTAAAAACTACTGAAACTAATAGTCCAAATGTTTTATTCATAAATCATTATTTTTTAAAAAAATTTATTTTTTATTTAATAGGGTGCAGTTTACATAGAGCTGAGGCTCTAAACAATCAAAGTAAAGTGCACCTTCAAATAGTTTGGAGAAATGTGGTTTCACTACTGGAAATATTTGGAGTAGCTTTAAAATATATTTTTATATTTAATTATAAAATTTACAGCTTACAAAATAGTGTAGATCAAACACATCTATAAAAACATGAAAATCTTGAAAATTGACATTAAAAAAAATACGTATTATTTCCAAAACTTAAAATCTAATTTTTTCTCATATTCATGTATCTTGATGTTGAGATGATCAATTTGAAGATATTCGGATATCAAAACAATTTATAATTTTCCTTTTTTATATTCATGATGTCAGGGATTACATAACCTTAAAAAAAGGGTCCAAAAATCCATCACAAAAATAGATTTTTAATAGTCGGAGTCGTTTCGTTTTGCATGGACTCATAGAAACCGTGTCCAAGTAAAATATCAAATACCTCATCTCTTCCGAACCACGTGCTAAATTTCCTATAAAACTTGAAAAAGGGTAAAAATAGTAAAACCTTTAAAAAAAAAAAAAAAATTTACGAGAAGTTGACCCTGGGTTGCTCGTCCCCGTCGCCATGTCATGGCTCCATCTCCACAACGCGGCATTTAAAGTACTCCCAAAACTCATTCCCCTGTTTTTGCAGACACCCTCTTTATTATTATTATTTATTTCTCTCTCTGATGCTTTTAGGGTTTTCAGTGCTTTCTCAGCACCTGCCAAATCTTTCAGGGCACCAAAATCTACGGTTTTGGCGCAACCAAATTCCTCAGAGTTCTAGGGTTTCCACGTGTGCAGCCATTGAATAATTATAGGGTTTCATTTCCTCCTCGTTCAAAGGATCAGCCATGAAAAGCTGCCGTGGAGGTTCCTGGGTTTTTCATGAAGAGGGTCCTAGGTATTTTGCGTTTTTGAAGGCAGAGACTCGAAGCAAGTCAAATGGTTTCATGTTTTAAGGGTTTCTGAGCAGTCGTCTGGATTATAGTTTTCGGGTGTAAATGATCAATTGGATAAGGAGAGATGCATTGGTGGAGCTCCAAGCCCTCTTCTTCTTCATCTTCTATTGACTCATCTTCAAACGCTGCTCCCTCTTCTTCTTCTGGTTCGAAGAGTAAGAGAATTTTCAGAGATATAAGCATCTTTAAAAGCAGAAGGGATTGTAAGGGGCCAAGGCTCACGCGCCAGAGAAAGCTCAGACACTTATCAGACCGGGAATTGGGGCCGCGGGCTTTCAGACCACCATCGAGCTCGAAACCTGTGTCTCAAATACAGAGCAGCCATGATCATGTGGCCACTTGCCGTCTTCCTCTTCCTGCCGAGGCTGAGAATAATGAGATTAAGGTTTCTGAGAATTGTGGGGTTGGGGTTTCAGTTGATTGGGCAGAATTTTCTTCTGGTGAAGGGGTGGATAATGAAGTTTGGTTGGTTCCCAATGGGGAGACGCCCTCTTCACCAAAGTACGGGTAGGACTTTCCTTCATCTTTGATCAATTTTAGTTGTTCTACCTATGTCTTATCGTTGATTGATTTTTGCATGCTCAGAGTTCAACTTCCACATCCTTGGTCCCGTGTAGTTTCTTTATCTGTTCTTAATGGCCTTCAATTGTTTTATCTTATTTGATTTTGCGTAATTTTTTTTCTATTTTATTTGCTATCCCCATATGTCTGTGTTCTTTGCTATTGCATGTTCAAAATCCAAATTCCTTTATTTTTGTGCTTCATTGCCTTGTTCTTATACAGTTCCGATATTGACTCCGAGAACCTTTATGACTGGCTACTTATCATCTGTGTTCTTTACCTTCCCTCTGGAGGACCATTGCATTCGACCTGGATCAATATTTCTGATCCCGAAAGATTTGATTGTTCACTACTTACAGAAAAAGCCAAAGTTGGACCACAGTATCATCTTTCTCCTATCAGTTTACTCCACCGTGCAACAAACATTGAAAAGGCTTCATTACCTGAAAGCTGGAAGCATAGCCTAAGTCTGCTTGTACTGTACAGATATGTTGATGTCCATCTGTTTCCCCAAAGAGGGAGTTTCTTTCTTCCAATATGACAAGTTGGAAATACAACCTCCGGCTCTACTTTAACATATTCTTGCAATCGGCTTTTGGGATAATCTCTGGCCTTGAACTGGTTTCAAGTGGATGAGAGTAGGAAATGGGTAAATATGATGGGAACAGGTTCAAGGATTCAACATAATTATCTTTCCAACCATCATGGTGTGGATATAAGTTCCAAATAATTGGGTTACAAAGTATGAACTTTTGTTAATCCCTCGACTAGATATCTTCTGTCACATTTTACATTGTTAAATGAAAGTTTTCAGAGGAAAATGAAACCATTTTCATTCATTATAAGTATGTTAGTGTGACAGAATGTATAAATGACATTAATAACGGTGCATGAGGAGATTTTCTTCTGTTTGATAAGTATTGAGATGCATATATGTAAGCCATCTTATCAAGAAACAAATACACATTATGAGCCAATTTGTTGGGTAGACAAGACTCAATCTGTTGTGTTGTATATTTAAGCTAAAACAATGGTCAGATATGATGATGCAATTTCCAACTTTAAAAACAATGTTTCTCACAGAACTGTTGGTTTGCTTCAGCAAATTGGCTTTTCCAACTGCACCAAAGAGTACATTACATGTTGAGCCACCACCGGTTGGGTTTACTTTGGGGCGAGGAAGACACATTCTTCAAGCTCCCTCTCCTATTCACACAGTGAAGCAACAATTTGCATCAAATGTGGTCGCCAACAGTGCTCCAGCTAGCACTTTCTCAAGCCCGGTGCTTAGTCCTCGGAGGTTGAGTAGTGGAGATTTCCACTCTTCTCTGCATGTGGGTTCTCCAGGACATCAGGCGTGGTTGTCTCCAGATGTTCAATTTACAAGGAAAAATATGGTTTCGAGCCATTTTCTTCAGTTTTCGCCCGAGAAAGTTTCTGTTAGTCCTGACCCATCTCCTCTTCATAGTCCCAGGGTTATAAATTCAGGGTTGAAGTCCAAGGTTCATAGTGGAGCTTCTTCTCCTATGCACCCAAAGATATCAGGGGAGAACTCTGGATCAAGGCATGATAGTGGCTGTATAGTTCCTCATCCACTGCCCCTTCCTCCTGGAGCGGTGCCATCTATGTCTCCTTTTGTCCATCAAACAGCACCAGAAACACCATCTCTGTTGAGTCAATGGCAAAAAGGAAAGCTAATTGGAAGTGGTACATTTGGTAACGTTTATGATGGATTTAACATCAGGTGAGTTTAAAGTTCGATGTATTTCTGTGTTTCTAGCTCCATTGCTTTTAACACTCATAATTTTTCCAGTGAATTCTCCTTAATATTTATTCAATTTTAAAAGCAAAGTAATCAATTTAAAAACGACAACTCTGTCTTATTTTGACAGCCAAACTGGAGCCATGTGTGCTATGAAAGAAGTCTGTATAATCCCTGATGATTCTAAATCTGCCGAGAGCATTAAACAGTTGGAGCAGGTAAGCTATCATCTCCTTCATTACATGCATTCTAATGTTTTCTATCTTTCTAAATTTCTTTATATGCCGCTCATCTGAATTCAAAGTAAAAGGATTTTGGTTCCTATATTTTTTGTTCTCTGTTAAGTTAGATTCCTCCTTTTTGTTTGTCTACAACTTGTCACCCCGCTGTTTGTTTATAGACTGTTCTCTTGTTTCCTTGATATTGTTCTATCTTTATATCACATCTTCTTCTTGTTGCAGGAGATCAAGCTCCTGAGCCAACTGAAGCACCCAAATATTGTACAATACTATGGAAGTGAAATAGTGAGCCTCTTGCTCGATTGTTTATCTTTGTTCAGTTGCAAAACTGCTTGTTGACAACCAACCTTTTGGAGAGAAAGAAATGACTTACTGCTTTCATGCATAATGCAGGTTGGAGATAAATTCTACATTTATTTAGAGTATGTTGCTGGTGGCTCAATCACCAAAATAATTCGTGAGCGTGGAGCTCTCTCAGAACCTGTAGTTCGCAGATATACCCATCATATTCTTTCTGGTTTAAAATATCTGCACAGCACAAGTACCGTTCACAGGTTTGTATCATATATTTCCATTACTGTAATGTATAATATCTGACCTTTATAGTTGAATTGCAGATCACTTGCAATTGCATTTGTATTTAGAATTTTTCATGACTCAACATTTATAAATTTGTTTGGCTATATAATTATCATTGACAATGTATTGTTGTGATACATTCTGCATCATGATAATATATTTAAGTGAACCTTCTCACGATATGCTACTTGTTCTTTTCGCTCTGTGATTTGGTAAATGGGTTCTACGCAGGCTAATTGTTTTGCCATTTCTTTCAGGGATATTAAAGGGCCAAATTTACTTGTCGACACTTCTGGTGTTGTTAAGCTTGCTGACTTTGGGGTGGCGAAACATGTGAGTTGGGATTTAGCATTCTAGTTATTTTCTTGTGTAATTAATTATCTAATAACTCGACAATACCTATAAATGCTGGGATCTACCCTGAAGGTGAATTATCTATTCATTATTATTTTTGCATATATTTTTTTTTTCTGAGGGAAATTCTGGTTCTTCCTTGGAATCTTGGCTAATGGTTTTTCTTTATCTCTTTTATTGGGTGGGACTATTTAGATTAGGCCAACTCACCCTTGGGTTCTTTCATGCTAGGAATATTGGAAATCATGACACTGCTGGCAGAATTACAAGAACTTTGTAGATTAGTTCTTTCTTATTGCTGCATCATTATCTTGGCAGCTAAAACTATGGGCTTTGAATCCTAGAAAAGTATTCCCAATAATCCGGAAAACTTTATGGCGGATTATTGACTTAGTCATATAAAAAGTTCATGACATTTGGTGGCATTTTAGAAAAAATGTTTGTAACATTCGGTAATACCAGAAATGTGCACTGGTGTTACAGTGAGGATTTATTGATTTTTTTAATAGGTTGATTTTTTATTATTGATGTTTGAAGGAAATATTGATTCTATCTAAAATTCCATTTTGGTATTTTATTTTTTAACTACATCATCATCATCATCATCATCAAAGCCTTTTCCCAACTATTTGTGGTTGGCTACATGAATCCTGGTCCGCCATTCTACTCTATCAAGGGGCGTACTCAACTTCATAGACTTGTATATTAGTTTTTTGTGTTATACTCGTTATGGAATTTATTTCCTCTGATTTTTAGTCTGTTGTATTATTGAAGTCAAGTTTTGTTCTCTATGTTCTGTATGCCTTTAGGGTTTATGTGTTGTTCTTTTGTTTGAAATGTGTTCCTCTAGAGTTGGTGTTGTCAACTGGGTCATGTCTTCTTGGTGCTGCAGTTGCCTCAGTAGTCAGCTATATCGTTTCTAGATCAATACAAATTGAAATATTTTGGAGCAGCTACGCAATATCAAACTTCTCAACACATAACAGAGGGCCTCTTTTTCTCCGGATCTTTGTTTTACGGATGCCCCCACTTTTCTTCGTTGGATGCCCAGCCCACTATAGTACCTTTCTCCTTCCTAGGTCTGTAATTGCATTCCAATTTTTCCAAAACTCAAGCTCGTTTAGGACTTTTGGTAATCTAGGTGAGAAATCTGATAAGTGTTGTTTGTTAAATAACTGGACGTGAGGTTTTAGAGTCGTTGCCCTGACATTTGTTAAATTAACTCCACTACGATTCTCTATTTGATAATATTCTTTTGCTCTGGGGTATGGTTGGACAATAGCCGAGCCATTTCTTACCTAGGGTTGCACAAGATAGCTGCTGTTTCCTCTTTTCTGGGAAGAACTATGATCTGTCTTTGTTTAATAAATGGGACCATGAGATTGTAGAAATTTCTTAAACTATGTAGATGGTATCATATATGAATCAACTCTTACAAATCTAGGCTTTCAGAAGGAGCATGTTTGAACTGTTATAATCCTTGAAATGCTCAAAACATGTATCAGCATGATGGACAGCTGAGAGTGTTAGTGGCATCAGAGTGCAATGATACATCAACCATTTTTGGAGAGAGGCTGTTTTCATGTTTGCACCCCATTCAAACTGAACCAAATTGGTTCACATGGTTATTTGTCTTAGACTAGAGTTGGAAATCATCAAAGCCTCTTTTCTTCATACCACATCTCTTCACTTGTTAAGGTTTTTTTTGGTAGTGAAGGAAGCTCATGCCAGTCTCATGTTTATAAGACTGCTCTATCGTCTATATATGCATTCAAGTGAGTCAAAATTTACAGTGCCCAGAGCCTACTCACCTATTGCTCTGAGATGGCACCTTGTTCCCTGGATGTGTTGTGACTGCTATAAGCAATCTGGAAACACTTTCCTGTGAAGGCAATCATCATGGTGCCGCTCAATCCTGTCTTATAGAATCTAACATAACAACAAAAACATTCTATTCTTCTTGAACCTCATTTAGGCCCTCGTCGCCGACTGCCATCTGAATGCTTCTACCTCGATTTCTCTAGATCTTGTTTTCGTCTATTATTTATGGTAAGCCTTCTTACTTGTCTTGATTAGTGAATCTTGTATATCAAACCATAGGACTAGCTTTAGTCTTTAGCACTAACACCAAGGTAGCTATTTTGCGTATGTTTTTTCTGGTCATACATTATCTCTAATAAAAAAATTGCAATGTCCCCATCTGTTTCCTCAAGCTTAATGAATTCTAAGTCCTGTTTTACCTTAGAACCTAATGTCCGTTGGACAATTTGTTGATCAAAATTGTGTTTTATATATTAAAAAAATGTTTTATCCTGGATATGAATTTCCAAATATGTAATTCTCTTCTAGTTTGACTGGATTAGTTAAGTAATTTGTATTTTACAGAAATTTGTGTTCATTATATTTGTTGTTTGCGTCATTGATTTAAAATTTATTGAGTCCAACTCCGACTCGGCCAAGTTACTCGTAATTGGTTGCCTTCTGAGTCTAGAAGTAAAACTTTGGGAACCCACCAAGCCTCGCAGGTTCGAAAGAAGTTTTTTTTTTCTTCGGTGAATTTTATCTACTTGGACGAGTCATTCTGGGACTTGGCTGAATCCAGTTACCTGATTCAAGCCCTGGGATCCTAGCAAGTCCTCACCCATGTACATGATTAAAAAAAAATGTGGTGCGTGGCATAGACATCCTAGGTACTAATTAAATTGCTCATTTCTTCAGGTTTAGGAAGTGAGATTTTTGGGTTTGAAACTTTATAAAAATGTGTTCGGCAGAGGATGTGGTACTTCCCCCATAGGGATCCATGTGTACTTTGCATTTATCATATTTCATTGTCAACAATAGATATTATAAAATATTAAATGCACTTCAATTTATACATAAAAAAAGTCAAGCATAAAAATTAGAGAACGACTTATAAGAGGTAATAACCACATTGACAACATAGTTTAGTGAATAAGAAATCCTAATCGACTCTCCTGTATGCCCTGAAGTATATCTACATCCTAGGAGCTTTTTTTTATTCTCTCATCCTTACATCTATTAATGCAATATTAAGGCCATTAATGTGATATTTTTGCTGGGTTAAATTCGAGAATATCTTTCATTCAAATTCGAGAATATCTTTCAGATTAATCAGTACTGTTTGCTAATTTCATGGTATTTATTTGTTAGTTGAATAGACCGTTGTTCAAACTTATTGTACAGGATATCAAGTGATTAATCACTTTCTGTTAATTCATTGTGATTTGCAGTTAGATGGACAATCTGCACTGCAGTCAGTGAGAGGAACTCCATATTGGATGGCCCCAGAGGTATCACTCTTGTATGGCACCATTTATGACAGTCCTTGAATTATTATGGCAATTATGCCTGAAGTGTCACGCTCGTTGTATAGGTCATTATGCCCAAAGGCCAGGGATATGATTTTGCTGTTGACATCTGGAGTTTAGGTTGTACAATAATTGAAATGTTTACTGGAAAACCGCCATGGAGTCAATATGACGGGGTAAGCTCATTCATCACCACAATTATTCATCTTTTTCCTTTTTGTAAAAATAAATAAAAAGGATCCTTAGCTTTGGTGATCTTTATTTATCTATGTTTTCTTTAAAGAAATGGCAATCTTACTCTTTACCTTAATACAATACAATAGTGAATACGTTATAAATAAATAAATAAAATCTTTCCTCAGGGGTAGAAGAAAAAGAATTTTTTATATCCATGCTTGTTTTGTGGGTCTGCATGACTGGCATAGATTGGCATAGATTGTGTGTTTCTTGTGGGCAATATTGTACTTGAGGTTGCTTTTTATATGCTTGAGGAATCCTGAAACGAAGTAAACTTTTGGATTGTGTTCAGTATTTCATAGTTTAATTTCACACGGTAAAATTTGCTTCCTATGCAGGGTTTCAAAGTTTAATTGTTTGATTCTTTTGTTTGGTCTTTCTAGAGGTCAAAATGTTTTTGCTTCTCTTGCATCTCAACAGGTTCAAGCTATGTTTAAGGTCTGCAACAAATCCCCACTAATTCCGGACTCATTGTCTGAGGATGGTAAGAGTTTCTTAAACCTCTGCTTTACAAGGAATCCCGCAGAGAGGCCTCCAGCAAAGGATTTGCTTGAACACCGCTTTGTAGCAAGTTCTCTCCAACATGATATATCCAATTCTATTCAGGCTTTTTCCAACATGAGATTGCAGGCAAGCCTTGATTTCAACTCAATAATCACTAGTCCAGTAGTTTGATACATATGTGTGTGTGTTTGTGTAATGATTGATGAGTGGTTTATATTGTTATCTTTATGTGTTTTTCTTCTAATACTCCCTTTTCTCTCTCTCCCTCTCTCTCTCCCCCACTTTCTCTCTCCCTCTCTCAGGATGCAACCCAAAGTCCAAGAGAGAGAACCAGCTATTTAAATGACCTGGCAAACAAAGTTTCAGGCACAGAGATCACAAAAGGGAGACCACCAAGGCAATGCATTACTCCTCTCCTTTCTAATTTCTTAATATGAGATGCCCTCGAAGCTTTTGAAACGAGTTCCATTTTTCAAGAATCAGCAGCTCTTCTTCTGGTATAAACTCTGGAAAAAGGAAACTGAGTAGCTTTTTCAGAATTTTTCAACCTCTTTCTCTCTCTCTCTCTCTCTCTCTCTTATATATATATATATATATATAGTAAACAACTAACAACACTAACTATAGTAGTAGTACGTACTACTATACTACTACTACCTACTGCTTAATACATTGATT